GGCCAGAAGAGCTAGAAACAGAATCTTATATCTCCCTTGACACCCACAGCGGTAAAAGAGGAAGTGAAGATGAAGAAGAAGAAACAGAAACCAACAAGCAAGTGTTAAGTAGCTTGGGATTGTAAGAGTTGGTATGTTGAATGTTGAATTGAGAATCGACATCACAGCACTCGGGACATTCCCGTAAGTGCTCTGTCGCCGTGTTCAGCAGCCAGCGAAGAGTTCCAATTCCTATGATACTAGTAGCCGTCCTATTGTATATCCGTCTCATCCTTCTCCTGAGTGTTGAGTGTCGGCCAGATCCCCTGGTAACTCCTCGCAGCGCCATTCTCTTTAGACCGTTATTATCTATCTGCGCCTCCGCAATGTTCACTCGCACCCAAAGGGCCCTCACAATATTGAACTTGTCATACATCAATTCTCCACCAAGTGGTGCAGTGCCAACCTGTCTATCTTCCTGCTGATTTCCTAACACACAGGAGTTAGTAATAAAGTGACGACAGTAAATCACCTACCAGTGGTGGCACAACGTAGTCAGCCACATCCCAAGTGATACGGCCAAAGGATGAGTTACTTTCGTACAAGATCCCCTTCAGTTTCGTGGCCACAGCACTTCTAACTTCGTCATACTCCTGGTACCCTTTCTCGTAAAGAATACCGTAGCTAGAAAGACAAAATAGCTGGTACTTTAGGAGGTTCAATACAATAATAGGAATAATGAAAACTTCATCCCCGGCCTTAATTGGTCTCAGGAAAAAATATTTCGGGAGGCATCATTTCTTGTTTCTTCTTTTATCGTCTCACTGATACCACGCTGTCGACAATTGTTCTTTTAATGTCCCCAGTCCGATATCGACAAGAGTATGTCCTATAATAATTCAAAATGTCTTGTGAAGTAGCTGCATTTCCACCACTGCTGACTTGCTAGGCCAGTCGTCTGGTTAAGCAGGGGAAAAAATCTAGCCCGTCTCCTTCCACTGCTATTGCTCCCCGTTTGCCTGAAACCTGGCGGCTTCAGTTTTCCGGAAGCACCACAAGGCAGTATATTACCAATTTAAATGCCCCTGTAACGCTGCATATAGGGGCAGAACGGATCGACGACTGGAGAAACAGGTTGCTGTACATGTTATACTATGGGGGGGGGGGGGTGGTAAACGCAGTGCAGAACACTGACAACTCAACAACAACGAAGACAAGTCAATATTTACAAGACAACGTAAGACAAGACAGTACCTGTTAGGCAATGTAAAACAAGACACTACTTACAAGCCAATGTAAGACAAGACAGTACTTACAAGACAACGTAAGACAAGACAGTACTCACAAGACAATGTAAGAGAAGACAGTACTCACAAGACAATGTAAGACAAGACAGTGCCTACAAGACAACGTAAGACAAGACAGTACTTACAAGACAACGTAAGACAAGACAGTACCTCTTGGACAATGTAAAACAAGACACTACTTACAAGCCAATGTAAGACAAGACAGTACTTACAAGACAACGTAAGACAAGACAGTACTCACAAGATAATGTAAGAGAAGACAGTACTCACAAGACAATGTAAGACAAGACAGTGCCTACAAGACAACGTAAGACAAGTCAGTACTTACAAGACTATTCAGAGAAAGACAGTACTTACAAGACAATGTAAGACAAGACATAGCTTATAAGCTAATCTAAGACAAGATAGTGCTTACAAGACAACGTAAGACAAGACATTACTCACAAGACAATGTAAAACAAGACAGTACCTACAGGACAACGTAAGACACGTCAGTACTTACAAGACAATGCAGGGCAAGACAGTACTTACAAGACAACGTAAAACAAGTCAGTACTTACAAGACAATGTATGACAGTATGATGAGCTCAAAAACACGGTTGATGATCCCTACTGTCTTGTTCTTTATATGAACCATCATCGGCGTGTCATATTCAAAGAAATCGGTACAAAACGCGTTGATTGCTTGCCCAGACATTGTTTATCTTCCCGTTTCTTTATGTCTCTATCTAGCAAAAAAATTTAATGAATACTGTGTTTATTTCTATGAAACATAAATGTTTCTCACAAATACGTTTGGTAAAGTTTGTTTCGCTCACAGACTCCGAAATTTCAGATCACATTATAAAAAGTTCTATAGTAAATAATTTAGACCAAAAACTCAAGTTTCAGTAAATGATTCGAGCTGTGAAACGTAAATTTTGGTTAATACTTATCAAATAAACTGTTCACACATATACAATCTGAGAAAAGTCGTCGCATGAAATGATCCACACTACAGAAGTAGGTAAGTCGCGATATCTAGTCGTTGTATGTGTCGTTTATGAATTTGTTTCAGTTGATCATTGATTTCTTTGAAGTCTCTTATGTTCACAGTTTTATTAGTTTAGTGTTGCACACGCACTGCGCGATCCAGGGGCGTCACTAGAGCTGGGTGTCTCACATGTGATTCAAAGTTATATCTGGGCTCCGGGGTCCTATTTTGGAGGAAACGAGTAGACCCACTGTTTCCATAAGAAGCATGTCGTAAAATGCGATTAATTAAGGGTTTTTTCTTCTGAAGTCAGAGCGCACCTCTCTGACAGGCAAGGAACCAACTATCTGCATACAAGAAAGCCAGTTCTGGAAAAAAACGAATGTGCCTGCAAAATTCAAGAAGAAGAAGAAGAAGAAGAAGAAGAAGAAGAAGAAGAAGAAGAAGAAGAAGAAGAAGAAGAGAAGAAGAAGAAGAAGAAAACGAAGCCGAAGAAGAAGAAAAAGAACAAGAACAAGAACAAGAACAAAAACAAGAAAAGAAGAAGAAAAAGAAGAAGAAAATATTTTTGACTTCATCGTTCTCTTGCGGACGCTTACGTGATATTTTCATAATCTCATAAACCACCAAGAGTGTTTAAAAACCCGTTGTTCAAAAACCTTCAAACAACCATATTTTCTTTCATCCAATACGAAATCGTCGGCTGGTACTTTCCCTTGCGTGTTCAGGAGCTTTTATTTAGAGAGACAAAGAGAACAGACATGGGCCTACCTACCCTTATTAGGCACATTATGAAAAGTGGTTATGAAGAATTCACTTAAATTGATGTATTTAAAAAAAAAAAACGCAATAATCGCAGCCTAGCTGTTAACTACGCAGTTGCGAGGCATACACGTAACGGCTGTAATCCCCGCTGGCACTTTCCATTGCCGGTTATTATTTTTTTTACTATTTATTATTATTATTTACTATTTATTACAAATACGCAACCCTATTTATGTTTCGAGCATAGCAAAAAGGAAGACTTATTATAAGCTTACACGACTTATGCAGGAAGTGTAACGTGCGAAAGCTAGCAGTTACTGGTACTATGATGCTATTTGCGCACGCATATTTTATACAGCTATGCTAAGAAGAGGTATATACCATATGATACCCACTTGAGCGGAATTATTACCTGGTAACGCATACACCTGCGAACTAAACTCGCCTCGCCACTGAAACTACAAACACAACCTGCCAGCCGACGATTTAAAGGCTAAAGAAGAAGACAGTCACGGACTTCCTTCCATGGGGACGCCTCTGAGTCCAGCTGTATAAGTTGATGTAGTTTATTTATAACATTATTTCTGCAATCTCCTAGCTGAATCTGCACGGATATTGCCCAATGTACCCAGTCATAGTTTCATCAAGTTCAGACCCTGTAGCCACACGAGAATATTATATGTTTTATTTTTTTATTTTATCTTAACAGTGCTGCTTCCCGTCTGCACGTGTTCTTTATATCGTTCATCTAAGTAAACATTTGACATCACGAGATTCGGGACAAGCCCTGATTATGTATCCAGTCTACCCAACTCCAAGAGGATGTAAACATCATTACGGAAGTTTCTAATTAAAGACCCCAAATGTAATGTGATGATGTATTTATGGCTAAAGGTTAAAGGTTAAAAGGGAGTTTTATCCCATATGGCTCGGCCTCTCTCTCTCTCTCTCTCTCTCTCTCTCTCTCTCTCTCTCTCTCTCTCTCTCTCTCTCTCTCTCTCTCTCTGCAGAACGTCTAGCCGCTTTCTGACAGCATCGCACAAAGCATGACCTCCCTAGCTCCACCTCTGATCCCCAGTTATCTCCGTAAATTTTGCTCCCGTGAACCGAACGACGCAGCCGTTAAACGAACACACGACATTCAGAGCGCGAGGCAAACGGCTTGACCACTTCGCCATGGAGACCCCAGGTATATTTGGTTTCCCGTCTGGAATATTGTATATGCAGCCACAACCATCTAATGTCAAGAGGTTTGAAGAAACAACAGAAATCTTTGAGTAGCCACTGATTTGAACACTTATAACACAAAGATGGCAGCTCTTTTTTGGAAACATCGTGAAAAAGCACGGCTAGATATAAAGCCATACAGCTCAAACCGGAGTTTCCGTTTTTGTGCTGGCTGGCGTGGTCGGTCAGTGGTAAAAATTGTTATCGAGTAGATTTATACCGTGCAAATGTAATGTTCAGTTTTCTTTAATGCGATGAATGCAACTGTTTAGATTGATTTTTTGGTACAATATTTTTTACGTACCCCAAGCAGAGGGAATCCGTGGGAATTCCACAGCTGCCTTGACAGTCCACTATTTCAAACGGTGCAAGTCAAGTATGCTGTCTGTTAGTGTGCAGTCGGCTGCTTATTAATGCGCAATTGCCCGGTGTACAATACTGGTTACGGTTAGTTGCGTATCCTTTACATGACGTTGTAGAACCAACCCCAACAGCCCCTGGCTGTTGTGTGGTTTTTCTAGGCAAATTTACGTCCAGTAGTTTGCCATTGCTTTTTGGACAGTCGGCTTTCTCGATACCACTGTCGAAAACAACGCAAGGCGCATAGCCCGCAGCTGGGATCGAACCCGGCATCCCGGCATTACAAAGCGTTCGCAACGACTTAGCCACAGAGCCGACTACAATGCTGGTTATGTTTTTATATTATTTTGTCAAGTGAATGTGTAGCGTAGTTGATTATCATATCTAAATTGTTGTTGATTTTTTTAAAAATTGAAAGTAAATTGTTTTTTTTTTAATTTGCTATCCTCCGAAAAACTCCCAAATTATCGAGGCCAAAAATATACCCTACCATGGCCTCAGTCACATGTCAATTGCCGACCACTTTCTCGGCGCGAAGAGAACTCAAATAGATAGCTGGGACTCACGAGCAAACAAAAAGGAGGAAGCTGCAGGAGATGTGGTAGCTGCTGATCGTGAGTCCCAGCCATACCCTCGCGGCACCCCAGGGTGCCTCTGCACCCAGTTTGAGAACAGCTATGTTAGCTGACACATCCGCCGTCCCCTCTCCACCAGGTATAGAGATTCTGTTTTGAAGCCTTCGTTTGTACATTTCATATTATTTCAGATAAGTATTATATTTATTTACCATTCAGATCAACATAACAAAAAAAAAAAATTCCAATATTACTTGTTATTTTTACACAAGGCGCCTTAGCACTCAGCTGTTGGAAAATTTTAAGTGGCTGAGATCCCCAAAATATTATTCGCAGCGGCGCCCCTGAGAGGTACCTAAGCTGAGTGATTTTGTGCATCTATGTAGTATTGTTTAATTTGTATGTGCTGATGAAGGCTTAATAGCCGCAACGTTCACGTTTTTTGTGTGTCTTTGTTATATTGTGAAGCTTACCAATATACTTTTCGTTCAGGCTTATATCTTTTCTTGAGAGGTACCTTAGAGTTGCTGCTGCATCGGAGAACTAAGCACACATGGGAATGCCCAACGTGCAGTGACATAAAGTGAGATAACATAACATATCGCAACATAACAATAGATATTTAACAGGTTATTGTGAAAAAAAAAATTATAGTTTTGTTTCGGTTCTTTTGATACGGCGGGAAATTTGACACTAGCTGCACAGGGTTGCCATATTGGCATTTTTTATGCCAGATCCCACAAATTTGGCATATTTGAAATGGAGCAGGGATAAGATAATGAACTGGCATATTCTGGCATATTTGGGTTTTCCTGGCATTTCTTATCAAGATGTGGTCACATTTTCTTCATCGTTCCTCTGTTAGAAACACGCAAATTTACTAAAAGCAACGTAGACCTACAGTTAAAATCTTTATTTCATTTTGACTTTGTTGTGATGTCCTGGTACGGACTAACGGAGAATCGAGCCATTTCTTATTGTATTTTTTGTTTTCCTAAACGGATCGTGACTGCTATAAACCTCTGTAATTTAGGTTAATTTACTAGAATAAATGCGAGATAAAAAACGAAAACCAACCACTGATACCAAGTGATTCAGACTGTTCAGAAACTACTTGAGGACAGAAAATAGATAGGATATAGACCTAGTTCTATATGTGATAGATTTTAATACTTTTACCAATGGCCACGTCATCCAAAAAATGGAAAGCATCTTATGACAACAATCGCAAGTATAATAGTAATTGGAAGAAATCATACTCATGGCTCAAAAGATCTTCAGACGGATCACAGGTAGCATATTGTAAACTATGTCAGTGCACTGTTGCACCAAGAATTAGTAGATTTCAAATCATGAAAAATCCGAAAAATTATTTGTACTTTGTGTTTGCGACATCAACTGCACAAGAATTTGAAAGACTGAACAGTCTTTTTCAACAAACAAAAGCTGATCCTCACGAACTACACCAAGAAATGTCCATGCACCAGAAAAGTCTTAAGAACCGACTGTATGACGTCAATGAGCAGAAAAAAAATATTCATCAAGTTGATTTTAGTATTAAATTTCTAACGGAATATAATGCGTTCCTACAGAAGAATATCAGGACTGAAGTTCAGATAGAAATAAACAATGTTAAAGAAAGATGCATGTCTGTGCTAGAGGAAGCTCTCAATCAAATTACGTGTAGACTTCCCACTGAGAATATATTTCAAAATCTGTCCAAATTGAGCCCTTTAGCAGTTTTAAATCAAGCATCAAGAACACAGTTTTCAGAGCTACAATTTTTACACCTGGCAGAAAACAACATCAGTATTATAGAAGAACAGTACGGAAAATTGATTCTTGTCAACTGGAAAGAAGAAGCTACATTTAAGAAGGATAGACTACCTACAAACAGTGAAGATTTTTGGATAGGCGTACTTCGACACCAGGCATTTAAAGAGTTGGCCATTTTCGCCCTTACTTGCCTAATAATGCCAGTTAGCAATTCTGTAGTTGAGAGAATATTCTCTCTTGTTACTTCAACTAAATCAAAAGCAAGAAAAAAAATACAACTAGATTTTCTTGATGCAGTTATCAGAATTAGAGTAGAACTATTGATATCATGTTGCAAAGACTTCATTCCATCTGAGAAAATTCTTAAAGATTTTACATCCAAAAAGGTTTACGCTGCATCTTCCACTGGTTCCAGTGAGGATAACAGTGAAGAATTCAATCTAGAGCTTTTGATGTGATACTTTATGTTACACTTTATTTGGCAATTTTCTGGCATATTTTCGGTGATGGTTTGGCATAAAATGAAGTTTTTTAAATCTGGCAACCCTAGCAGAGGAACAATATGGTATGTGGCTGAAGTCTAATCGCAGACAGCTTGGTCAAAGTTGTTTTGTTTTTTTGTGTAATTTTTTCTTTAAAGATTTAAAGTGAATTTTTGTTTGTTTGTTCACAATGTTTTCTTTATTATTGTTGTGCAATAAACCCGAAAGCTCATACGAGTCCGTTCTGGCTAATTTCAAGATGAGGTACTGAAGTAATAGTAGACGGACTGCTCAAGTTGTTTAGGAAGTGCCTTAGAGGGAGAAAAAAAAAGGCATTTTCACTATACATTTTATCGTGAAAATACTTTTGTTTTTATGTAATAAAATACGGAAACAGACAGCAGTTAGATAAAATAAATGCAACTTTACCTTGCCGAGAAAAGTTCGAAGATCGAGTGCCAACTAGGATCTTAGTGTGAGGAAAAGGAGGAAATTAAATTGTTTGGAAAAAGTCTCCTTCTAAATTAGTAATAAAACTTCAGGAATTCTTATGTTTTTTTTAAATTATATTCTTTTCCTTTCATGGCCCTTTCTTGTTGAGGCTTACAAGTTGTAACTTACTAGAGATATGTGAAGACAAAACTGTATGGTAAAGGAAGAGATATGGACTGCAAGTTAGCTTTCATACAGACTACCAGTCTACTGCTTCGCATTCACCTGCTGTGAACTCCGGCAGAAAGTTCTGGTTGTTGTGGTCCACCTCTGGACTTTAGACTTGTTCTGGAACTGTTGCATGCACATCCATTTTACATATCTGACTTATTTATATGCAGGCTGTTAGTTCCTTGCCGCTCAGGCAGATGCACTCAGACTTCTAAGGAAATCCCCAATTAGTCGACTCTTACGACACGCTTGTTGGGAAGGCAGCAGGTCGATTCTTGTTTTTCCCACAATGGGGCCTCGGAACCCATACCGAGAGCTACCACCCTCCTGATATAAGCTTTCTGACAGAATGTTCGAAGAAGAAGACTATGCATATGCATTTAAATAGGAATGTCCTGAGTGCTGTGTTATCGGTTCTTAAAACACAACTCAGCCTGGTTCACTGATATGCCAAAAACACTTCATATAGCAAGCAAAACAATTATGGCTGAACAGGATGTATACCAAGTTGGACTTATTAAAAAGTTGATGTTTACTGAGGTACCACTGTATCCGAAACCCACCAATGTATTTTAAACCCACCATTGTTTTGGAAAACCACCACTGTATTGGAAACCTGCCATTGTTTGAAAATCCACCACTAATTGAAACCCACCACTGTATTGGAACCCACCATTGCATTGGAAATCCACCACTGTAATTGAAACCCACCACTGTAATTGAAACCCACCACTGTATTGGACACCTGTCATTGTATTGGAAACCCACCACTGTGTTCAAAACCCACTACTATATTTAAAAGCCACCACTATATTCAAAACCCACCACTGCATTCAAAACCCACCACTGTATTGGAAACCCATCACTATTGGGAAGCTACCACTGTATTAGAAATCCACCAATGTAATTGAAACCCACCACTGTATTGGAAACCCATCACTATTGGAAAGGCACCACTGTATTTGAAACCCATCACTATTGGAAAGCCACCACCGTATTCAAAACACACTACTATATTTTAAAGTCACGACTGTATTCAAAACCCACCACAGTATTGGAAATCCACCACTATAATTGAAACCCACCACTGTATTGGAAACCTATCATTATTGGAAAGCCACCACTGTATTTGAAACCTATCACTATTGGAAAGATACCACCATATTGGAAACACACCACCGTATTCAAAACACACCACTGTATTCGAAACCCACCACTGTATTAAAAACTGATGGCACAAATTTAATGGCCAGACTTGCATTCAGTTTGTATTCCATCATTATGGGTTCATGCTGAGATGCTGAACTACATGTGGTGCCGCACCAGGATCAATGTTTATACTGGTAAAGTCCTGCCCCTACCTCTCAGATGTCATCCTAAAGAACACTTCCCAAACCTGTTTCTATTTATCAGAGTGGAAGTGCATCTACCTGAGAGGTGAGGAAACCAATAGTCTGCACACGACCACGCCAGAACCTGGCTTTTTTCTGATAATATGCAATAATACCACTACTGGTGTATGTTTTTAGGCAGTCTTCTTTCACTACTGTAGTACGAATGAACGAACAAACTTTATTTTCAGATGGTCACAAATTGGGCACACAGGCCAGTCTTACATTCAGCCCTTCCAAACACCCCTCTTTCACACAGCAGTTGTATTTTATCAATAAAGCATGTTATCTTCAAATAATAATATGTATATTGTGAATATCAAGAAAAAACAAAAGCATGGGTAGTAAAATGCGTGCACGCACTAGCATGCGCACACACACTAGCGCACACACATACCTACATCAACATACACAGGCCTACACACTCACTTGAACATGCATACACCCACATATATTCACAAATATATTCATATACATACATACATACACACACACATACTTCACATACACAAAAAAAAAAAAGATACACACATGCACACACAGACACACCCACAGAAATACACACAGGCACAGTAGACACTTTGTGGTGAGTAACCACACCCTTTAGAACACCCCCGCCGCCCCCCCCAAAAAAGAACACTTTGTGGTGAGTACTGACACTTTTTTTCTAAGGAAAAAGCCCTGAGCTTCTTCTTCTTCTTCTTCTTCTTCTTCACTTCCTCTTTTACCGCTGTGGGTGTCGAGGGAGATATAAGGTTCTGTTTCTAGCTCTTCTGGCTGCCTCGACCATAGGCACATCGTGCTGTTGTAGAGTTTCTCTGATGTTATCCTTCCATCTTGTTCTTGGTCTACCCCGTGCTCTACGTCCTTCTTCTCTTTCCATGTATGCTTTGTATGGTATGTTGTCACAAGGCATTCTCTCTAAGTGGGCAAACCATTTCACTTGCTGTCTTTGTATGTAATCCAGAATTGGTTCTGTGCCGACTTGTTCTCTTATGATCTCATTTCTGATCTTATCTCTTATGGTCACTCCTACAGCCCTTCTCAGACATCTCATTTCCCTGGTTACTAATTTTCTTTTATGGTTTGTTGTGAGTGACCATGTCTGGCACTGGTAGCACAGAGTTGGAATAAATATGCTTTGAATAAGATGTCTCTTTTTGCTGACTGGGATTGTCTTATGCTGTAAGAGGGGGGCAAAATCTGTAAAACAAATGTGCATGCAAAACTCAAGTCCTGAAGGAAGACACAGTTTTAGACAAACAATACTTTACCCCCGAGTTTAGACCTGGTAAACACAAAGGAGAATTTAGATGGCTGAAAAGAGTTGCATAATGAAGATAGGACTTTTTTGGATGTCTGGTTTTAAGTGTCTAGATGTAGACTTTTTTCAGCAAAAAACTGTCATAATTTAGGTCACCATTTTGGGGGAAAAAAGGATAAAACTACTTCCTCTAAACAAGCATGTCCTAATGGCAGACAGTTGTTGGTTTGCTAAAAGTGGACAGAAAAACGCATGTATTGCAGCCTAGCTGTAAACCACATCACTATGCTAGTCACCATTTTAAGTGCAAAAGCATAAAATAAAGAAGATGAAGAAGAAGATCATTTGAAAAGAAAAGTAATGAAAAAAAAAAAAGAAAACTACCACACTTATTTTATAATTGTTTCTATTATGTGCTGAAATAATTCCACTGAGAGTTTTAATGTCTTTATTGTTTTCACTTCTTCCCTTCTCTCTAGTCCAAGAAAAAGGGATTGAGCCTTGAGGAAAAGAGATCTCGTATGACAGATTTCTTTTATGAAAAGGTAAGTTGGTTAAATTTGGTGTTAACTTCCAGACACGGTTACTTACAAGAAACTAGAAGAGAACATTAGAACCTATGAAATAAGAAACTCTAAAGGAGTGACCAGAAGATCGGCGACCGGGTCGCTCATTGGCTTGCTAGTGGATGACTTCGTTGCCGGTCCGGACAGTACTTGTGTCTGTCTTCTTTGATCACATCAACACTGCATGAGTCTTGGTGGTGTGCAGTGCTAAGCCATTTTCTATGGTGCATATAACCTAGTCACAATTATAACCTAAAGCTCTCCCTTTGCTGGTGGAACATAACTGTTTTTTTCTTCAGCAAAGCATATACCTACCTACAAGTGACTCGAAGTGATACATTTAGGATGGAAGTCATAAACTCTGGTGGAAAAGTTCTGGTTGTTTACCTACCTCTGGAGTTGAGACTTGATACATAACCTGAGTGTTGTGTGCACAGCCATTTTACAGATGGGGCTTTTTTGTATGCACACTGTTGGTTCCTTGCCTGTCAGGCCGATGCACCCCGACTTTGAAGAAAACCTCCAATTAGTCGACTCCTACGACATGCATGTTGGGGAGGCAGTAGGTCTATTCTTGTTTTTCCCACAATAGGGCTCCGGAACCCATTGGGGGAAACAATTCTCCTTGATGTTCAGGTCAAGCAGAATGTCAGCAGTTTTCTTTATCTTGATCCTCAGTTTCCCATGAATTTTCCTTTAGAATTTCAGTTCAAAAGCTCCGGTTGTCTTCTTCAAAGACTGACTTAGAGTCTATGGCACACATCTGTAAGTTGCTAGGGGAAAGACAGTGACAGAAACATGTTATATATTTTTTCCCCCCAGTGTAATCAACTATTTTTTTTGGCGGAATCTATCGTCGCCTGGAGATCCCCTATATATCCACATTCAAATTAACATTACAGGGCTCGAATTAAATAAGTCCTAGGGGAATATAACGGTCCCTGAGTTCTGGAAAATAGAGGAAGGAGAATACAGAAAGTTAAAGAATAGGGTGAAATCCCGAAAAATGTCCTAAAGAAATTCAGAAAAACCACCAAAGTCAAAACTTTGTAAATTAAACTCAAATAAATTGCAATGAACAATCTTTAGTCTACCTAAGAAGTAAATTGATACGATGAAATCAATAAATGGAATTTTCTAAAAACCACAACTGTATTGATAAAATACTGATA